GTTGCTCCTTTCTTTGCCAATCTGTCAGCTCTGTCATTACCTGGTGTGCCGGAGTGACCTGGAATCCACTGCATCACTATTCTGATGTTGTATGAGGTAATAAGCTGATCAGCATCCAGGATTATCTTGGCTATGTCAGTTCTGCAGCGTTCATTGCCCTCCAGAGCTTGAAGGGCAGACATTGAATCTGTGAAGATGACAATATTTTGGACCTTTGAGGGGTAAACATCCATTACAGTCTTTAGGTGGTATACTGCTGTTTCCAGTGCAATTATTTCAGCTTCATAGTTTGAACAGAATTCCCCGCATGCATCAAAAATCTCTTCAACAGATCCATCGGGATATCCTATGTAGATTCCGTAACCTGCTTTAATGGTAGCTTTAAATGCTGATCCATCAGTGTAGACATGTATCCATTCTTGGGGGTAAGAATCAACGGTCTTTAGTGATGAGTTCATAAGAGCGATTGGGTCGGACTGTTTGGTTTCCTCGCCTACCAATTTAGTTTGGACTTCTGGAGCTTTAAAGCGAGCATGTGGTGGTAGGTCTTTTGCAACATTCTGAATTCCTTGACGTCTTTCTGGGAGGTGGTATCTGTCCTGAATTTCATTAACACAGTGTAAAACCGATTTGTGCTTTATTCTTTGTTTGGATTCCCAGTTTTCTACAAGATGTCTATTAGGATGGTTACGATTTTTCCTAACGCTTCTTTCATAAATTTCTAAAGTGGCTTTTTCTCTCCGCAACCCGAGGGGTTCCACATTTGTATGGATTTCACATGCAGCAGTTGGTGTAGACTGCATAGCTCCGCAGATTAATCGGAGGGCATTATTTTGTACTCTGTCAAGAGTCTCTAGGTTAGTTTTGGAGCAAGTTGTAAGCAGTGAGTTGTTGTACTCTATCACAGAGCGAACATATCCTAGGTATAAGCCCCTCAGAGTTTCCTTGTCTGATCCCCATGATGTACCTGCAAGTCTCTTTAATAACTGTAACCGCCTCAATGCCTTATTCCTGATGTTTTCAATATGGTTCTTGAGGCTGAGCTGCGGGTCAAGTGTGACTCCAAGGTATGTGGGATGCTCTTCTTTCTTCACTTCGTGTTTGTCTAACCTCAGGTTAATATTCTTCCTTGCTACTTGGTGGCTTTTGGTAAAGATTGTGTAGACCGTCTTTGTACAGTTAATCTTGAGTTTCCATCTTTGGCAGTAATCATACAGTCTTCTAAGGTCTCCATTCAGTCTTTGGGCTCCACTTTCCACATTTTCATGACTCTGCCATATTGCTAGGTCATCAGCGTACAAGGCTTTTTCGGCCTTGATTTGTTCTGGCAGGTCATTGATAAAGATTAGGAATAGTGTACAGCTCAATGATGAGCCTTGTGGCAAGCCCTCCTCCAAGACTTCTTTAGAAGAGATTGCGTTGTGCATCTTAGTCTGGATTGTTCTATCTATCAGGAAGTATTTCACCCAGTTATACAATCTGCCATGTATTCCTATGCTCATCATCTTCATCAGGAGACCCTTTTCTCCATACTCTGTCATAGGCCTGCTGGAGGTCGACAAAGACTGCCACTGTGTGTTTCTTATTCTGGAAGCCATCATGTATTCTTTGTGTCAGTCTGAACAGCTGGTCTTCTGTGCAGCTGTTGGTTCTGAAGCCTGCCTGTTCATGGCATAGAACACCAGAACTCTCAAGGAACCAATATAAGCGCCTGTTTATCATTCTTTCTGCAACTTTGCCCAAGCATGATGTTAAGGATATCGGGCGGTAGCTTTTGGGGTCATCTGGAGGCTTTTTTGGTTTTAAGGATGGGGACGATATATGCATTCCTCCATGCCCTTGGAAGTTTGCCTGACCTCCAAGTTTTATTATAAGCCTGAGAACTACTTCTCTCCCAGACCGGCCAAGATGTAGCAGCATTTCGTTGTGGATCTTATCTGGGCCTGGAGATTTTCTAGGTTTTAATTTCTTCAGGGCTTGCTCTAATTCATCCATGCTAAATTCATTTTCAAAAAGGGAGTCGCTGGCTGTTGGAGCTCTCTCTTGTTTCTTCAACTGAGAGAGCTGTGTTCTATTGAGTTCTGACAGCTTACCTGCTCTGTTAACTGAGGCAAAATAATGATTGAAATGTTCTGCTTTCTTCTTGTCTTCAGTGATTGTCTTACTCCCATCTGTCACTGGTTTTGGGTTCACCCTTCTACTTTCTCCGGAGAGGTTTTTAACTAAATTCCATGCTTTATTTCCATTCTGTCTAAGGTCTAAGTTGGAGCAAGTTTCTGTCCATTTATCTCTTTTAGCCTTATTAACTACAAGCTTTACTCTGGCACATGCTTTATTGTATTGGATCTTTGCTTCTGTTGAACGTGCAGTTTCGAGAAATATTCTTGCTTTATTTCTTTCAGATATAGTATTTTGAATTTCTTGATTCCAAAAAGGTTTATATGCCTTCCGGCTGCCCCTTGGGGTGGCTTTCGACGCTGCATTCAGGATTGCTTGTGTTATGTCTTCACAAAAAGTTTCCACACAGCTGTTGTCAATTCTTCTCAGGAGGCAGTCAGATGTTTCCTGAAATAGTTTCCAGTTTGCTTTTCGGAAATTCCAACGGGTTCTCTGCTTGAAGCGTAATTTAGGGGTGGTGCTTACAGTTGTGAGTATAGGTTTGTGGTCACTTCCTATGTCCTCCAGGACTTGGGATAGCTTGCGTCTGCTAAGTCGCATGAGCAGATGGTCAGATCTGGTCGGCTGAGAGATAGGTGGGCCCTGTGTAACAGTGTAGGTGTAGACTCTGTGTCCTGCAGCACTAATAGGTTAGTTGTTTCACAAGTATCTTTGATGTATTTCCCTGTGCTATTGTAGTCAGGGTAACCCCAACGTGGCGAGTGTCCGTTGAAGTCACCAACAAGAAGGGTTTTATGATACTGTGTCTTGTATAGTTCTGGTATGTTGCATGTTGTCTGAGGTGGGCTGTACACGTTGTATATAGTATATTTGCTTCCATTGTGCCAGATAGTTATTTTTTGCACATCTGTAGGGTGAGATGTCGACAGCATTGTTACATCTCCTTGTATGTCATTTCTGATATAGGTCACTATGCCCCGGCAGTCATTGCACTTACAGGCATAACTAGTATATCCAGTGAGATGCAGATCAGAGTCTTTATGCAGGGTTTCTTGTAGAGCAGCCACGTGTACCCTGTGGTTGTTTAGCAGTTTGGCAAGTTCAAGTTTCTTATTTCTTATTCCACAGATGTTCAGCTGCAGAATATTGAGCATCTGTGTATTTTTTGCTGTGCTGTCTGAGTTCTCTTTGCTCTCCCTCCCACTCTTCCTCCTCCTGGGGTGTCTGTTTTCCCTATTTATTTCAAATAGCATACTTAAACGCTGAGTAGCGCATTTTGAAAGTGTCCTGAACCGGACATCATCTGTAAGTGATGAAGCCATAGAACGCTTGCCTCAAGTTTCCGTAAACAACTCACTAGACGACTTACCTACCCTGGCTGAGACAACAAATGCCATTCGTCAGCTCTCAAAAAATAAAACTCTAGGTACTGACTCAATAACAGTTGAGATTTACGAGGAAGGTTGTACAACTCTGGTGGAGAAGTTTCATAATATATTCCAGCTGATATGGCAAAAGTGAGACTGTCCAACAAGACCCTAAAGGATGCCTCGCTTGTTTACCTCCACAAGTGAAAAGGAAATCCTAGAGAAATGACGGCGGATGGCTTCAGACAATGGTAGTATATCCCTTCGTCCTTTTTAGGACGAAATTTTTTGTTCTTTGCCAGGGACCGTAATACAGGCAGGCCATAAATATGACCAATTGTCTGAACGTGGTTTCTGGGACTTCTCCACGGTGATTCTCATCCACATGGTGGCACTTTGTGTCATCGGGTGTTTATCGCTTGTGGGGTAGAAAGTCAGTCAGTCAGTTCAGTCAGTGGCATGGAGAAATATATAAAAGGAGTGTGGCTAGATAAGAGCACCGTGCAGAGCTGCCAAAGATGACACACCAGTTTGATACTATTTGACAGTTGATTTTCTAGTTGCTTCTTCATTGTCCAAGTTTCTATACCATATAGCAGGACAGAGTATACATAACATTTGACATAACATGACTACAAAATTATGACTGTCTCTTTCTTATGTTTGTGATAAGTTGTCTTCGAGCATTTACCTTTTTAAAAACATCTGGGTTGCTCTTTTTGGTTGTCCAAGGAATTTCAAGAATTCTTCTGTAAAACCACATCTCCGCGGCCTCAAGAAATTGTTCGGCTTGTTTATTAATTGTCCAGGCTTCACGACAGTATGTTGAAACTGGCTCTATATAGCGATGACTCAGATTTATTATAAAATATAATCTTCATTTCGTAAAACGCAGTTTTAGCCTGTTCTATACTTTTTCTCTGTGATTCCCTTTTCATCGAATGTTATCCATGTGCCTAGATACTTCTGTACATGTCCTTAAAAAAATAACACCTTTGACTTCTCTTATACATTTAAGCACTGTTCTTTTCTTTGAAATCACTATTACTTCTGTCTTTCCATTATTCAAACTGAGACCCGTTTTATCACTTTCTACCACCACTGCATCTATCAATTCCTGTAGTTCTTTCTGACTGGTCGCTTTCAAGACGATGTCATCAGTATAGCATATGTTGTTTATGTTATGCCGCCCAGCTGCAATTTCTGGCATATCCATTGTCCGAATATGTAACTTAAATCTATATTTTTTTCAAGTCTCTTGGGATAAGTTGGTGTAATTTAAGACGGTAGGAGCCCCAGGGCTTTATGTATATAGCTTAGGGCATCATCAACAAGACTAAATCCGCCCCGTACCTTTTCGTTATCCTTTAACCATTGTTCGAATGTTCTGTAGGAAGGAATCAGGTCGTCAACTATGCTCCGATCCCACTCCGTAACCGTTTGATAGTGCGCGAACATCGTGGCTATTTCTTGCGCACCTTCAAACGTAAATTGGCGATAGGCATCCACGGAAATCTGTCGATAGAAAGATTCGATTAGTTCAGACTAATATAATAGATGCAGCACTTCCGGCTAAAAATAAGCCCATAGCTGGCAGATCTCTGGCGCTCTTACAATTGTTTCTAGCTAAGTTTTGCGGGCGCAAAATTCTTATCCCTGGAGTTGAAATCCGAAGATTCTGTTTCCCAGCAACTGAGCTGATGCTTGATGCAACTTTGTGAGCTGTGGATATCATATGGATTTGTTGTCGTTGTTGTTGTTGTTGTTGTTGTTGTTGTTGTTGTTGTTGTTGTTGACTGCACTAAAATACTGGTGGCCGATTACATTCAGAACAGCGTTTACCTTTACAGGTTTAATGCCCGCTTTCGTGATGTGACTGTGTCAACAGTGAGCTGCCATTCTAGCGTGAGACAGCTAGTACTGGCACATCTGACACTGTCTTATGCATATTTATTTTGCGTGTGCAAGCGTCAACATTTTACTGGGTCTGACATGTTTTATTCACTAGCTTTCAAATAGGCCAATGAATACATTCTGTGTGAACCCGCCAGTGGTGCAGGCACGGAGCCCGTATGGGACCACCGGTGAGCAGTAATGCTGGAAGCTCGACTAACAAACAACGAATCATGACTAACGACTAACCATAATAGATACAGATATGTTAAACCCCATGTGGTGAAGAATCAGGATAGTTAGCATCTTTTGGATATTTTCTCCAGGTGGTGCCGGTGTGTTGGGAAATGAGCAGGCAGATATACCGACCGGTTCTGCACCACTTGGTGGTGAACTGACGTATGACAAGCTAAATGTTGTGAGGACCCTCTGGGAGCCACTGAGCAGCGTGGAGGCACACAGATATCATTACGGTCTGAGGAGAATAGTGCTGCTGGCAGTTACGAGGACATCTCTCGAGCGCTCAACACTCAAGGGAAAGGCGAGACGGAGGTGGCGGAATTAAACAATTGTACATTTTGTAAAGTTAAAAAAAAAAGCGATAAAATGGAGGTAAGCGATGTTATACTTCGTCTTAGTGTAAAGGGTACTGATAGGCTAGCTGGAGGGGGATATAAAATATATATGTTATATACTAAAATATATACAAGTCATAATATAGAGAGGTATGCTGTGGTGTCATTGTTAGCGGCCGAGGTGCCGTACAGGAATGGTCTGCAGTCAAATATCTTCTTCTTCAAGGCACATAAGGCAACGTGTGCCTTGCCGACGTGGGTGAGCGATCACGTATCTTCAAGATGTTCTGTGGTGTCTGCTGCCAGCTGATGAGCTGTAGTTATGGTGGTATACAACTGGACAGCAATATGCAGTGGCCGATAACTATGTCGTAGAGGCAACAGGGGTCATCAAAATCTCCTGGACATATGGCGCTATGATTTTTTAGAGTAAAAATGGAAAATTATAGAAAAATGGCGGGTGTCGCATGAGGGTGGTTTAGTGAGGGGTCAGGTTATCGTTTCGCTAGTTAGATGTGGGGTATTAGCGTTCTGTGACATATGGTGCTATGACTCAGATATACCGAAATAAAGAAAATCCGAGTAAATTTGATTGGTGTCATGTTGCAGTGTTAGATGCGATTGTTCAGTGAGAGGGTCAAGTCGAAGTGGCTATTTAGATGCGAGATGCACTTCACAAACTGGTCACTGGTCTTGGTAAGTTGGCCATTGCCTTTGGGACACCTTAAAGAATACAAGGTAATTCACAAGCCTGTCACAGGACCTTAAAGGTCTTTGGTTAGTCGTTCACTATTAGGGAACCACGCAAAGTCACTGGACGTTGTTTCTTCTTTGGAACACTTTAAATCGAGCTCAAGTTGTTTACCTAAGTATGTAAGTCGTTTCTCTTCCACAAGGCTAATCACTTGTCACACGTAGGACACCTACTCACTCCATGAATTTCTTTTTTTTTGGGGACAACTTAATTAGCTCAGTGTACTAATTAAGTGGTTCACTAAAGTTGCTTGGTACATTGGACAATATCTTTTCGACACCTTTGGTCGCTTAGTATACTTTCGAAGTGTTGTCAAGGGTCTTGTTAAGTTGTTCATTGAAGGTACTTGAAGAGTCAACACTATCTGTCTTCGACACACTACAATTCACTCAATGTCTTCCTCTTCTGGGGCATTCTTAATCGCTCAAAGCTATTCCTAAGTTGTTCACTGAAGTGTGTTTGTAGGTCGCGGGACACCTTAAATCACTCGATGCCTTTCTCATTTGGGACATCGTAAGTAGCCCAGTGTGCTTCTCAAGTGATTCACTTAAGTTCGGCAGCTACCCATAGGACACCTTATATCACTCAATATACAGCTTCTCTTTTGCTGGTCTTGGCAACGCGCTTACTGAAGTTCTCTGGTCTCCGACCATCTTTGGCACACTTTAAGTCGATAGACGCCTTTCATAATAAATAGGATGCCGCACGATGTCTTGCTTCTTTGAGACACCTTGTCACTCTAGGTACTTCTTAAGTCTGTCACTGGTCTTGACAAGTCGATCTCCGAAAATCC